AAATAAAATAAATTACACAAAGTTTAAATAAAGTAAAAATCAGTAAACACTGTGGAACCAAATAAATAAGAAACTGATATTAAAAATAAAACTTCCAAAATCACCTTAGATAAATGACAAACGTCAACAGGCTTTTCAAAATCCAAAATATTGCCAAACAGGCACTTTTGCATTTCGTTTCGAAACTAAATCTTCGCCATCGTTGTCAGTCAGCTCGACTCACTCTCCTGACGTGACAAATGAAATCTGACTCCTGCTGCTGATCTGTGATGCAACTGTCATTCGGCATGCTGCATTGAGAAGCGGCGATCAGTTTTTAATTGTAGTGTCTGTTCTTTAACTAAATGAAATAATTTTTTATTACTATAAAAAATTAAAACTATGGTGGTGTGCGGTGGGCAAGTGACGCTTTATTATTATTATTATTAATTATCCTTTTTGTTCTGCAGAAAAATGAAATGCATACGGGTTTGGAACAACAAGAGGATGAGTAAATGATGACAATTTATTTATTTATACTTTACTGAACTATTCCATTAAGTCAAGTGTTTTTTAGATTGCGGGTTAAAGTTGTTCAACCCCATTAGTAAAATGCTGAAAATCTGCAAAATTACTTAACTATCTAAGAGCACATTTAAGCTTCCAAAATGAAATTCAGTTTAATGGCTGGTAACAGATATACAGTATAGATGTAAAGTTTCACAATTGACATCTGATACACATTGCTGCACTAGTTTCAGAGCTAAACAACAGCAGCATAACTTGATAAATATTGTAGTGATAGTGTAGTGCACATATACACACAGACAGATACACACTGACAAAAGAGAGCAAAAGGTCATGGTGCTAATAGATCAGCACATCAATGACAGATTAACACCTTGTCATGTAGGTCACCTCCTGGCGCCATGACAACAGAGCACACTGTGCTCACATAGTAACCTCTCATTTATCACCGGCACTCATCGGTACAACACTGAACCCTGAACACAGATTCATCAGCCACATTGGCTGTTCACCATCAATGCGTATTTAATTCTATATATTCAGATGAAAAAGTGGATATAGATCTTAAAACCAAATCTTATTTTTAGCTCTTATGTTTATTTAGATCCGTTGTCTTTTGCAGCCTCTTATTTGTCTTCTTAAACAAACAGTATGACAACACTGGACCGCTCTGTTGGCCCCAACAGTTCATACAATGTTACTGCAGTTGACCAGTGTGCAACAATGTAAACTCAAGAGTTTGAAGTAAGTTGATCTGTTTGTGTACTATCTTGTTAGAATTCCAAAGCCACAGCTGGTCATGTGATCTCAACACTGTATATGGCGTCCACAATGAAGGAGCAACCCACCTTATGTAGAATAAGGGTGCTTTCACACCTGTAGATCGATTGCTTTGTTCCGAAACAGGGATTAAAATGATTACAATGTTGCTTTTTATTCTTGGTGCGGTTCGCTTTCAAACGGTAAAGTTTCTAAACGGACCAAATTTGTTAATACAAGTCACGCGCGAGTAAACTGTTCTCTCATTGGTCAAAGTTCCACGGTTTATTTTCTGGGATTCCACTTAGCTGTCACGGCTGTCATCCGTCAGGATGGAACGACAAGAGCTTCGCGGACTTATTGTTGTTTTTTTAGTTTTTTTTTTTAGCTGTCCTTATATTAATTTATCATACCCATCATAAATTGTGATATAGCCTGGTTCGTTGGTCCGATAGATCGGATTGCTTTCTCACTACAACCGAACCGCTCCAGAGTTCGTTTTCAATCGAGCCGAGACCACCTCGTTCAGGCGATCATGGACCGATTGTTTTGGCGCGGATCGGGGCGCGATTGCCGTGTTCACATATGCCCAAACGAACCGAGCTAAGTGGGGAAACGTGCCAGGTGTGAAAGCACCCTCAAATAGCTTTTTCTAAGCTGAATTCTCATATGACTCTAGACCTTGTTAAACATATTTGTTAAATGCACTTCTAATTTCCTTAGATGTAAAGAAAATGGAAAGTGCTCCTTTTTGTCTCTTTCACTAACTGGTACAACAGTGATATTGAACTTCATACTGACACCTATTGGTGTGGATGCAGCATGCATCAAAACGTTTCCTTGAAGTGCCAAATGTCTTATGTAGAATAAAACAACATATCAGTTTATAACAACTGAAATGACAAATGTTGAAGTATAAAACAATTTTTTGTGGAAAATATAGATGAGTGCACCTAATAAGAATGTTAAAGGTGCTGTATGTAAGTTTTTGACTCTACTAAAGCATAAAAATACCATAATATGTTTGCAGATATTTAAGAAACATGCTAAGTTAACATACTTGTTTATCTGAAAAACAATGCTACAGTCAGTTATTCTCCTTTGAATATGCGCATTCCGGGCCAGAATGTCGGTTATATGTTAGATATAGTTTCATTTATTAAATCCCTTATATTCACAACTGATTGTCTCTGTTTGCTGCTCACAATTCGAAGTCAATGAATGTGTGAACCCTTGCTACATTTTGCTAAATTACTGCTAGCACTGCACAAAGAAGGACAGATTATTCTTCCTTGGCCAGGAAAATAATCTTTCTTTGAATTGATAAATGATTATTTTGTCTGCTCGGTGGACGGACAGATCAAGTAATGGTAATATTGATTCTGCTACAGTTAATTCAAAGATCTAATCTAAATATTTATTATGAATCATAACCAGTTATAATTCGTCATAAATATTTCCCTTTTTGAGTTGAAAAACCCTACATATTTAATTTCATTCATCGTCATGTGCGCTCGTTCCTGTTGGTGTCGTCAATCTGGCAACCTGCGTGTGCGTCATATCTGAGGAGGAGGGACCGGGTGAAAAAAACCCTCTCCAATATTTTGAATTTGGACTGCAATATCTAGTTCAACCACTCGGTGTAAATCCTACATACAGCACCTTTAAGCAAATGTAACATGACAACATCATTAATTACAAATAATTAAAGCTGAATTAAAATGATAAATTATGCTATTCACACCTCTGTGAATTGCTATAAATAAAAACACTGTAAATCAGTCTGGAACTAATGATGCCACTGACAAAAACACTCTGTGGGATGTGCTTCATCTTTAAAAAAAAAAAAATTATGTCCAAACTGGTTTCAAACCAAAATTGCTCAGTGGCACATCACAACAAGAAAGAGGGAGGCAAATCAATAACTGTTACAAAGTGAATTCCTCTTTCAAACTCTCCTTCTGTGGAACAGCACTTTGGTGTACGTGATCCGGTCTGATACTTCATAAATAAGCATTATTTTCTCCGTTTATAACTAGCTCAGGTGTGATTCACTAGCTGTTATTGCCATTTACTCTCCATCAAGATGGCGTAAAGCCCTGCAGATGGGTCTTGTAAAGCTACGGCCATTCTATTCTAAGAAGTCTGTTCAATTTGGCTTCTCTGATTTCCCCGGAGAGTGCTCCTCTCTTTAAAACGCATCATTAACACAGGCTTACCTCTCCCAAAGGATGGCCTCACCCCCGCCTAACACAGAGCAGACTCGAGCCTGCTTACAGCAACCGCACACTAACACACAGAAACCATCTTTTGCCATCGACCCAAACTTTTGAGGCCTAGAAGATGAGGGCCTCTTGAACAGCCATCAGCCCTAGCCTATAAACTAACTGTCCACAAGCAGAATTGTAAATTCCACTTTGATTTCTGAGTTATGTCTGTGAAATAATTGGTACTTATTTTTGTGAAAACAGAAATGTTAAGGCCTGTACACATTTCATCTGCTCACACACAGATGCTGTGGTGCAATTATGAAAGACATTTTTCAACACTGGTTTATTGCAGCATAAATTACTATATTTCAGACTGATTCTGTCACTCTAATCCTACATGTATTTTTGCCATATAAATATTTACAAAAATATATTTCAGCATTACTCCCAGTTTACTCCCAAACAAACCTTCCCTTAAAACTGATTCAACCTTAAAATTGTACCTCTTACACTAAACAATAACCTACCAATAATATTTTTGTAATACATTTGAGTATACCATTTATTATTGTGAATATGTATTTTTAATTACACATTGTGATATGAACAATCAGTCAGTAAACAGACTAATAAAAGTTTCATAAATTAAAGTATTTCACTGAGAGGTTTGGTTCAAACGTAACCAACAACTGACCCACAGTTTAGCAAGGAAGTTAGCTGTGAACTTTAATTTCAATTCACTGACTTATAGCGATAACTATAAAGTATCTAACTAAATAGTAAAAGTACTATTTAATAATCATTCTAATATGACAATTGGGAAAGTCCATACCACAATAACGACACAGACGAACAATATTGTTGGAATCACTTTCAAAACAATTTTTACATCTTATAAACAATAAAAACATTGACATCCAATCCGAATCCACCTGCTTTTAATGAGCTTGAGCATTTAAAGCAGCAGTACGACATAACGTCAACATGTGTTCATAATAAACAGAACATTGGTATGAATGCTAACATAGTTATCATTATAGTTTATATCTCATAGTTATCGTTCTTAGTGTGAAAGGGCCTTTAGTCTGATTCAAATCGCTAACTCACAAGCTAATTTGAAACTGTCCTGTATAATGAATCCTTTTTATGGACTCATTAAAAATAACAATTTCGTAAGAATCATCTTTGAATTGGACATCTCAGCTAACCATGTGTTTGTTGTTACAATTAGCTCTCCCATTGAGGTTTTCACTAATGCCGACTGCTTTATTGCACGTGCCGTTCATCAATACATTGATGAAAGGAAAAGTAAAAAATGTCAACTAGACATTAGCTACAACATATCTCCAAAGCAATGAAAAACACAAAATGTCCTTTTCGTAGATAAAACAAACAGAAACCAGGTTAGGCATCTGAGGATTTGTATTTGTGGCTCAGACACTTGCTTCAAAGGATCATGGGTAGTGACAAGACACAATTCCCCCATTCGCCCACCCCCGACTCTCAGGCACTGCCCCGACTCACCCCTGACTTCTCATCGAAGATCTTGATCCCTCCAAAGGACACAGTGAGAAAAACTTTCTGTTTGTGTTCTCCTTTAGACCGCGCAGAGGCTGCGATTCCCTGCAGACAAGAAGATGAAAACAGAAACATGAGAAAAAAAGAAATGAAGATAAAACAGAAACAGAGCAGAACGGAACGGCAGCTTTTGCTACTTGCAGCTATCCTTAGGGAGAATTAGCCTAGCTGTTATGTAAAGAAATTGATTCATTTTCTCTCTGTTTTCAACGATTTCGGAGGTTCTGATATGTGCTGGTTTGGAGTAACTAGGGACAACTGACACTATACAGGTACAAGCTGTAATTACACCATTCTGCTGATCTCACTCTACCGACGGTCATTCAAAAGTAGACATATCAAACCATCCCCACCCAAAAATATATGTGGAACTCCCTTGATTCTTTGAAACGACTCTTCCCCAAAGGACCACATGCAGATGATAGACTGAGCAGTGTGTTTACTGAGAATACATGAGAAAACACCAAACATACAAAATGCTGTTCATCCAGTCACAAAACCACCATTCATCTCGACAGTTTGGATGAAACTGAAGAAAAAATGGCCGACTTCACTCATTTTACATCAGTAGTTGCCTGTAGGTGTCTCCATATCCCCTCCTCACCTAATACACCTCCATAATGAACATAATAAAATTATATTTATATATATTATTATATATTATATTATATATAAATTATACAATATATCAGAGGAAAAAAACTGAATTGTTTGACAGTGTGTAAATCAGAGTATGTAAGCGGAGTGGAGCAGCAACAGTTTCTCCTCCGCACTCCAAGCATTTCATATTCATATCATATCATATCATTTCATATTTCATATTCATATCATTTCATATTTCATATTTCATATTCATATCATTTCATTTCATTTCATTTCATATTCATATCATTTCATATTTCATATTCATATCATATCATATCATTTCATATTTCATATTCAAATCATTTCATATTTCATATTTCATATTCATATAATTTCATATAATTTTAAGCTGATAAATCACAGGACAACATTGACAAAAATTCTCTGCACTCCTGAATGTTTCTATGTGCAAGCTTGTGTGTTGTGCACATTAGTGTAGAGCGGAGATTAACTACCTGTACAATAAACGGTTTAAAACGTCAATTCACCCAATCAATATTGAGTATCCACATGCTACAAACAAACATGCTTGAGATATAACCTCCCGCACTCGTCCATCGCTATCAACCTTCACCTTCTTTCTGATTTGAGTGATCCACGTATCTGTCAAGCTAGCTAATGATGTTTAAAGTGTGAATTCTTGATAAAATGCAGTTATATTATGATCTGTTGGCATTAATTGTTCTTGTGATGGAGGGGTAGTGCAGCGCTCTCAGTGCGAGTGAAAACCACGATGCTCCGACTTTCAAAAAATCCACTCCTCGCTCCAGTCAAAAATCACGCCACTCCACTCACATACTCTGGTGTAAATGCAGCCTATTTGTCTGGGTGAGAAAAAGACACTGTATATAGCAAGGGACCTAATCATTAACTAATTAACAGGTTTTTACAGTAGCATTTTTATAGTCTTTTACCAATAAAATTATGATAATTTCTTACAATGTACCAGAGGCAGCACTCTGAAAGGCTCATAGTGACCCGGGGCAAGGCACTGCAAATGTAATATTTTGTCAACAGCAATTGAATAAAATACAAAAACAAAATATCATTATTAAACTACAGATACATTAAAATATTCACACGTTTGAATGAGTACATTTTGCACTTTTAATAAACCAAATAGCAATGCATTTTATTTTGTAATTCACAGAAATGCTTAATCTGTACTGTTCACCCACACACAATTCAAACCGGACACAATTAATTTTCAACAAGAGAGGTAGAGGTAGGTAAAACTCCTGCAAATGAGCGATAGAGAAGCTGAGAGCGGTATGGCGAACAAAGTGCCACTCCAGATGGTTGTGCGCCGCCTTTGCCAGAATCCGTCACTGTGATGAGTAGATATCACACTGCAGACCTAAATCCATTTAAAATTTTTCTCATTTGTTTTTGTATATTTTCATAAACCACTTGTTAAGTCAGATTTGCAAAATATAAAGTTGCAATAAACCAAAAGCCGAAACTTGTTCTAAAATCAAGCTTGCTTCATATGTCCAAACCATTCAAAGCTGTGTGTTTGGCCGTTTCTCCAAACAGCTGGAGCCCTCAAGTCTTCCAGGACCATAATACGTTCTTGCCAATCAGATGATGCTGTTTCTTGATCTTCCTTCCAAGTGTGCAGGGAGCAGCATCCATCAGTCACATGATGTATGTTAGCACACCATTATGCCTATCAATATGTGCTGGCGGGATGATGAATGAGCCGTTCTAATGCCAGCAGCTGGAAGATCATGGCGAAAAGAGCACAAGCGCTGACATTTCAAACTCAGACAGTGTGTGTATAAATGTTGCTGGAGTTGCAGACGTGAAATATAAGATGTACATGTGCAATACAGAGTACCTGGGCAGAGCTTCGTCTGTAGGAGAAGCTGGACAGATGCTTAATGAAGTTTTTAGAGCGCTACATGGGTTGATTATCAAGGGAGGATGGGGATTATATGAAAAGACTCAAGTCAAACCGTTGTTTAAACTCTTCTTCCCGACAGAACAGAGAGACATAAAAAATGAGAGAGAGGAATAAGAGATTAAAAACACTATGGGACTCATTTGTTTGCTAAGGAGTGGAGGACTGTGGGAATATGAGTATAGATTATGTGTCTGGATGAGTGAGAGGTAAACAGCTCGGATCAATAACAGTCTGGACATTCCAATCAGACCAACATGCAAATCAGACGGCAACATCACCCACTCTCTCAAACACACTACGAAACCAATCTAAACTCTGGTGAAAAGGGTGCAATTTATGGCGAACATACAATAAGACACTGATTTTCGGAGGCATCAAGGCAATGTGTATCAATGTCTACTTGTGTGTATCAGGGGCGCACATGCATGCACAAATAAAGCAACCCACATACACATGGTAGTGTGACCCCTGGTGTTCACATGGGTCATTACCCAGTCTAATTGATGTGGCTTATTCATTCAACTGACTGAAATTACAACTTTAAGTAGCTAATTAAATGAGGATTGCCAAAAACACTTATCATATTGTTTTCAAATAAAGGTAATTATAAATACTACTGGTATTTAAACCATGAAACTACACTTAAAAGAAAACTTTGCAAAAACTAGTCATGGAATCCTCATTGTCAGCCAAGCCCATGCCCGGTTCAACAAGGGTACTAGAGGGTGCTAAATACCCTCAAACGAAAGCAAAAGCAATTGGCTAGTTGACCAAGATGATGTCAATGAGCTTCGGCGACGCGAGTGTGGGCATGCTTAGGAGATTGCTTCATTCTTTCCACTGTTGATTATGTGGTTCAGCATCAGTGGTTAGTCAAAATTCACGGGGATCTATTCATTCAAACATAAACCACTCAAATGTGCAATACTGTACATTTTCGGAGAGTTGATTTTGTTCTGACTGCTATTTATAAGATCATAAGGTTTGCGACTGTCAAAGGAGACGCTCAGAGATTTCTGCATTATGGACTCAATGTATGTTTTGTTTATTTGTTAACCTTATTTATAACTGTATCTGTACAATTTAACATAATTTAATTATAGTAGATTTGTATTTATTAAAATATTGGTGTTTGTATTTCCCTGTATTTTTATTCATATTTATTAGTGCTGTCAAACGATTAATCGCATACAAAAAAAGTTTTTGTTTACATAATATAAAGGGGGTCTGAATACTTTCCGTACCCACTGTATATATAATATACACAGTACACATACATATATTATGTAAAAAACAACCTTTTATTTTGGATGCGATTAATCACGATTAATCATTTGACAGCACTGATATTTATCTGTTTCGTGAAAATTAGCATTTGTTGCATAAATCATTATCTGTCTGGTGTCTATAAGCAGCGCATACAGTATATTTTAAAACATTGTTTGCATTAATTAACAAATAAAACAAATCTTTAAATTAGTCATAACTATGTACTAATTTTATCTTTTTACAGCCTGTGTTTTCATCTAAAAATATGTTTGATTCTAAGATCACTATGTGTAAATGTAAAATATTAAAATATGTTGTGAAAATGTTGATGGAACAAACTGATGCATGTGCAGAATTGAGAAACGGATATTTATGAAGATCAATTGATGTCTCACAAGGCAAATGTATTTCAGTTCAAAAAAGTAAATGCAATACAATCATTTTCGAGAAATAATTAATTTGCACATTTACATAATTGGTAAGGGAAAAAGACATTGTGTAGCTATGTGTACACACCATGAGTTCAAGTCAACTTTCATTTCGTGAACAGTACAGATTAGTGTATTTCATTCATTCAACTCTGCCTGACACAAACATACAAAAGTTTCAAATGCCACTGGCTCAATTAACATTTACAGTATAGTAATAATAATAATGTAGATCTTAGTTGCATTTTAAGTTATATTATAAATATAAACATATATATGCCCTGTCCCAAATCGCACCCTAAACCCTCGCGGTCTTCCTCTGAGTCCAGACTTTCGTGATGCTTTGACTGTCGGGTAGACTGTCGTTTAGCAAAACAGGAAGTGTCTATGCCCAAACTCCCTAGACCAGAAATCCAAGATGGCAGCGATACGTAACTAGCCCATTGAAGATTTGGCAAAATATCCAGTGTGTATTTGCGTTTGCACTCCTGACAGCATCAAAAGTTACTATTTACATTGTGTTCTTGCAGCGTTGAGCATTGTAGTCAATCACAGATATCACATATTATTTTAAATAACAATGACATTTAAAGCCATAAAAAATATTAAATACCTGAAATGGTATAAGAAAAGTTTTAATTATAATTTCAAGAGGTCTTAAAAAGTTTCAATGGCATTTTCATTTAGCATTTATGAGCACAGCACCTCTTTTTTCTTACCGGGGAAACCGCTATATTTCTGCCGTTCCAAAAGCTCCTCCTACTGGCAGAGAATGCATTTTCATTTTCAATAAGCCCGTCTGCTGTTTTTGTTCAGACCAATGTGAAAATCCACCCATGATTTTAAGCAGCAAACACATAGAGCTGTAAATGTGAACCCGTGGATCGGCAAGAAGCTAATGCCTTCTAAAATTCTAAACAATTAAGACAGTAAGATATATATTTATATTAGATTAATAACTCATCCAGAGTGAGTAAAAGAGCAGGCAAAATCATTCTGGACCCCTCACACCCAGCCCACTTCCTCTTTGAACTGTTGCCGTCTGGTCGGCGCTACAGAGCACTGAGCACCAGAACGGCCAGGCATAAGAACAGTTTTTTCCCTCAAGCAATCCATCTTATAACTTGGCAATAAACGTGTAATACACAACACTATTTATACATGTATTTATTTAACACACATACCTATTTTTACTTTTCCTTGAATTTGTACATAACACACCTGTACACACAAATAGCAACCATTGTCTACTTTGTATATTGTGTATTTTTTTTTATATATATATATACTATATATATTTTATATATATTTTTTTTTTTGTTGTTGTTGTTGTTGTTGTTATTTCCTATTTACTTATCCTATTTTTATTCTTTTTATTATCTGTCTTGTCTTGTCACTGTCATTCTATTTGTGCTTTTCTCTCAAATGTTTACTTTAACTTTAGACATAACCAACTGTGCTTATATGTAAACCGTGTGTGTTTTGACAGTATTAGTGCAATTAGACGCGAAAGATAACTTAGTCCAGTAACAGGCGCTGTTTGACAGGGTTTTTAGTGTGTGCACGCTTAAGGTGTACACGCTCAGAAAAAGAGCATGTCAGAACAGCACGCAAATGAAATGTTTAATGAGGTAAGGTTGCTCTCGGCGGGTTCATGAGCGCTGAACGGCCGCTGATGCCCTGGAGTTCACATCTCTGAAAACATAGAAGCAAATTTTCAAACAGACTAACTGAGACTAACTGAGTGCTAGACTAACTGAGACTTGATACAGCACTTGTATACTGTTGCCCTCCTATTGGTCTGAATTGCTTCTATTTGCTCTTCTCATTTGTAAGTCGCTTTGGATAAAAGCGTCTGCTAAATTATTAAATGTAAATGTAAATAGACGTTATCTTTATTAACAAACCGCATATTTGAAGTCTAAAAAAGTACATTCTCTCCTAAAAACTCTTAAAACTACATTCTGTGATACAAAAACAGTATTATTTATACAATTATAGTGGATTTGGGTGTCCGCCATGACACTCGCTGTGAGAAATACCACAAGCGGAGGGATACAAATGGTGAAATGGTTGGAGTTCCAATATAACTAGAATATCGCACTCCTCTCAGCCAATCAGATTTGAGGGCCAGAAATATATGTAATTATATGTAAATATATATATATATATATATATATATATATAACATACAGTACATAAAACATATTGTAACATATAGTAAGCAACCACTATACCACTAACCGCTATGCCACAATACCACACACCTTGAGTTTCATCATTGAGTCCTGACAGAGTTTGTCTCCTCTTGCGGCAGTGACCTCATCTATCCCAATGAGCTTGGCCTTGTAGCGAACGCCATCCCCCTTAAAACGCTTTATCAGAGCTGCTTCACTGCGGTCCTGCCCTGGAGAAAGAAAAAAAGAGAAGATAAATGAAGCATACAATCATTTGATGTATTTTGCATATCTGCAGCACATCTCCTCCTCCCTCCATCTACTATCATCTCAAAATGCCATTACTTTTCCCACGATCAGCACAATCTGGACCTTGCAGCTGACAAAAATACCAAGCGATATTCTAATAACCTGTATTTACCCCAGCCCACATCCTCATATCTCTAACACTGTGTTCTGTTTGAGCAGTTATATCTTTAATCTCAGTCTAGTTGTTGAGGTCCAGCTGGAGTTTTGTCTGCATGGGCCTGTGGGTTTGTTCAAAGCCAGGGGGTTTAAAATCAACCCAGAGTTCTGAGCACTCTCCCTAACCCCCCAGATGCCCTACGTTTGGCACCATATTCACAGCTCAGAATGAAGGTCAAGACTGCTGCATGTGTGTGGCTGTAATTACAGGTATGCCAGGCCCGAGGCATGATGGGGAAAGGCTGGTTTCTAAGTAACAATGCTTTATCCTGGTCTGGTGTGAGGCGATAGGAGGGATGAAAGCTGCATTTTTTTTGAGCTCTCACATCAAAGTGGACGTCTATCAGCCAATCTTGGCTTAGAAAGATCAAGTGGTTCCTCCCACACATCACAAAGCCTATAACTGGATAACTGGACTGGCCAATCGATGAGCCTCCAAGGATGTACAGTAGACCAATTAACTGGCTCATGCTCAGTGAAGCAAAGACAAACAGACCCAATTAGGTCTGAGCCTGCAGTTTGATCAGTGGACAAAGGCAAATAGACACTTACCAGGACACACTTAAACTTACTTGGGCTTAATTTATAGCATATACAAGAGGAAGGGTGAAAGGGGAATATATGCTGGCAGACCTTACTGACAGCAACCCCATCATTCGGTCAACCCACCGACCTCCATATCCACCCCCTTTGTATGTCTGTCTCCCTTTACAAGCATGACATTTCTCTTTCTTGCACTTTCTGTCACTCTTAGCTCTTGTATTGTTGTGGTATCAGTAGTATCTTATGTTGACCTTGTTTCTACATTTCCCCTCCATGTTCACCATAGTTGTAGCTCAATGGTTGCGCTCTCCTCTGAGAAGAAGGGGTCAAGAATTAAACTCACGCAAGCAGGGGAAACACCAGTGTTGGGGAAGCTACTTTGAAACTGTAGCTTGTAAAGCTTCAAGCTAGACATAATTTAAAGGATATCAATTTGGATGTCAGCATTCAACAGCATTTAATACATCTTAATAAAACTGACTGAGTAAATGACTGACAACAGAAGCTGTGGTTTTCAGCATCCAGTGTTACAATGGTGCCGTGACCCGAATGGGAGTGAGGTTTGGGGGGCGAGTGTAATGGAGGCCAGATGAGTCCTTTGCAGGCAAACCTTACTCTCGGGAACTCAAGAGGCACACTAGAAAATGACGCTGTGGAATTTAGCATCCTTGTTAGCGCACCCGCCTCCAATGCCAGTTAACGTTGGTTTAAATTCCGCTTGGAGGGGTGAGAGTAGGTCCTGTTACATTGGTGCTGTGGCCCAAATGGGAGTGAGTTTTAAGGGAGCTGAGTATAATGGAGGCCAGACAAGACTGTGCAGGTAAACCTCACACTTGGGGCCTAAAGAGGAGCACTAGAACCTGATGCAGTGGTTTTTAACTTCCTCGTTAGTGCACCCGCTTTCCATGCTAGTTGATACTGATTCAAATACCCCTTGGAGCGGAGAGAGTAGGACCAGTTACATTGGTGCCGTGACCCGAGTGGGGGAAAGGTTTAGGTGGGTGAGTGTCACGGAGGCCAGATAAGACCTGTGCAGGTAAACCTTACCCTCACAGTCTCAAGAGGCACACAAGAAACTGACGCTCTGGTCTTTTGCGTCCTTGTTAGCGCACCTGCCTCCCATGCCAGATGATGCTGGTTTGAAGCCTGTTTGGAGTGGTGTGAAGATCTCTTCCACAAGGCTTGTAGCAAAGTAGAGACATTTGTGATTCTAAATGACAATTCTGGCCAAAACCTGAGGTAATTTACTCAAGACAAGCATATGGAGAGACACTCAACACTTTGTGTGTACAGCAAACCAAATATGCACATACAGTATGAGATGCCCTGCATCCCTCCAATGAAATCCACTGACAATCTGTGGTATATTACGGGCTGTCCTGCTAGTCACCAAGCAACTGCACGATCATTAATCTATAGGATTGCTGAGGAAAATTGTTCTGAGCTTCTAGTGCAACATATATCAATAACACTGACACAATGTGACATGCTAAAGTAAGAGATGAGCCATAATGAATAGCAGTCTACGTTCTTCACATGCATAACAGCTGACGAAGAGGAGCATGTGATTCGTGAAAGATGATGAATTAACAACTTCTCGAAGGTCACCGCACACATGATGGAAGGAACTCGCTCATCTTTTTTCATTTAATGAATGGCCTCCAAAGTTGTTCTGAACCCCACTGACTTTCATTATATGGATAAAAACAGCTGAAACATTCTTCAAAAATACTGTCTTTTGTGTTCTACAAAATAAAGAATGTTATATGGCTTAGGAACAACATGAAGGTGAAAAAATTAAGACAGAATTTTCATTTTTAAGTGAAATAGTGCTTTAACCCATGCTCTGACTACAACTCTGGCAGTTTGTGGAGAGCTCTGGAAAGCTGATAACTTTCAGCTGTCCCTCAGCGGCAGGAATGGGGAGGATAAACACTCATTTATTTCCCCCCGTTCAGACCGCTGCACCTGCAGTGCCGCTTATTATTACTGCCTGCTTCAGGGACTGAACTTTGGCGGTAAATAACTGATCGTATGAGTGTGTGGGTGGCTATATCTGTGTCAGAAGGCTGCCAACTATACTGTCCAAGTAGAGATGTCTTGAAATGAGCTCCAGCTCTCTAACCTGCAGGACTCCAAAGTCCTCATTCAGGCTGAGGACAGCTTGGGGGTTCTTGGAGAGAAGTGTGGATATCACCCATTCCCATGGCTCTTCAAAATGAGGGAACTCTGGCAGCCAGCTACAGTGAGCTGTTGACATTAGGTCTAATTGAAGGAGGGCACAGGATCTTGAAATGCTATGCGCAGTTGCAACTGTAATCGCCGCAATTAGGAATCCCAGAAACCAGAGTCCGCACAATTTTAAAGAGAAACATTTCTGGAAATTCATCAAATTGGGAAAGAAACATCTAAGATTAGAAATAAAAGTTTGAAATGTGAACATAGATGGCAACTAGTATAACTGCAAAATGATAATAAAACATTGATAACACTGATATTAATTGATTAAATGAACATGTGAGACCTATTTCATTTGAAATTATATATAACCTACAAATTGTTAGTTATTTCTAACAAATTATTAAATTATGTTTGTCACAGATTATTATTATATATGAGATTGTTAAAAATGTGTATTATGATGATAATGATGATTAGTATTTTTTATTAAATTGCCTATACACTGACAAAGCGTGACTATTTTCCCAGAACAAAACTCTAAAAGATTTAGGAAATGAAGCAACGATCCATAGAGAATGAACTAATGAAGTAGCAAATTAATTGCACAAACTATTAGGTGAATTTGCAATCAAAAAGACTAAAATATAATGTGGTATAGACCAAAACAAAGAGCAAACCTTATATATAATCTGTGTATATTCAGAATATGTACAGTGCCAGCAAAAAGTGGGGGAGGATAAATTCTGTTGAAGAACTAAACAAAACTAATCTAATAAATAATTAATAAGCGTATATATATTCTGTTTTGCTATAACCCTGAACTACTGCAAAACAAATATTACCAAACAAATATGAAATGATACAAAGAAAAAAAAAAAGGTTTAATCTTAGAAAGAGATAGCAAGAACACGCTTACCTCACACACTTTCTCTCGCAAACACACAGACTCACTTTATTACTGCTGGGCTGGCATCTCCCTGTGGCATTGTGTCAATGCCAGAAACCACACATTGCCTAATGACTCCCTACAAGACTTTTCATTTTCTTACAACACAGCTCCAGTCTTTATTGAATTGAAGCTTCTGCTGTCGACTTTAAAGTCCCTCTCTGTCTTCTCTCTCTGCATCTTCCTATTATTTTCTCCTTGCTCTCTGGTTCTCTAGCCTTTTATCTGTTTTCTTTCTCCATTTCTTTTCTTCTGCATCAAACAGAGATCAATATAAATGCATACAAAGTACTAGTTCTTCAGTACCAAGTCGATACTAACATAAAATTAAAAATTAAATATTGTAACTTTACAGACTTCCCACGGTATTGTTAGTACTGAGTAAGAAAATATGTTGATAAGAAAACAACAACAACAACAACTGCTTTAATAGCTTTAATAAGCCCACCATGGCTAAATATGAACACAAAGTTAGGCCTAAATAAATAAATAATGTACAAAATGTATTAATTATGTATCTAATATTCATGCAGTGACAATATAACTTAATTTCTCAATTTAATTTGAAAGCTACATTTTAATGTTTTTATTTCTATGTATTTTAAATAATGTATTTTTTCCATTATTCAATTATGTATTAATTAATGAATTTATTTATTTTAACCCTGCACTGTAATTAATAAGTATAGCTTCTGTCAAATCAGATTGGGCTAAATGCTATGGCGCTAACAGGATTCAGTCTGTTTGGTGTTGTAAACCTCTTTTTGTGTGATTTATTTATCCTTCAAGATGAAAATGGAAATTAATTAATGTTCCTTCTGAGACCAGAAGTGATAGTCGTGTTGTCGTTTGAAGTTGCTTAAAAATGTTGAGTTCGTTATACTTCAAAGAATTGCACAGTTTCAAACCTCGGTCGAATTTAAATCTGATAGATCTTAAATCCCCTCAAGTGAGATGCAGTCGAGAGACAACACGAGAAGCCGTCTGCGAATATACATGTGTACTTACAACGTGTATGAAAATGTTGGTGATGTAGGCCACTGCTGACAACAGCACTAAATCAAACACTTTAAGTATGCAGGGTTCATTTAATGT